CAACATTTGGGAGGTCTTTACGTTTCTGCCACAAACTCCATAAAAATTTCTTGCACATCTTATCCCCGTCCTCTAGGGCCTCTTGTGCCCACCATCTATCCCCAATTATCGCGATCGTTTTTTCGCTGTTGTCTAATTTACCAAACTTGTCCATGTCACACCCTCTCTGTCTCATTTCCTCCTCGAGATCCTCTCTTTCCTTCCTGTACAACTCACACTCCCCAACTATGTGGGGTCTACTCTCCTCCGATTTGCCACATGGACATGTGTGTCTATCCTCCTCTTCCTCTCTCCTACGGCTGGTATACCTCTTCCTCCGTTCTGGCAAGTCCAGATCGCCTACTCGAAATTGCAATTTCAGCTTTTTCGCGTAGTCCATGGGGCCGTCCAAGTACTTCTTCATCCTTATCCCTTCTTTCAACTTCCCGTATATCTCCGAGTGGTCTTCGCTTCGTACCTTCTTCCGAAGGGTTGTCTCCTCCCTACTCTCTAGCATCTCCTTGACTTTCGTCTTGAACCCCCCGAACCCTTCCGTGTCCAACGTCTCCTCCTCGTCTCCTATCTCCTTCCAAACCTTCTCTACCACCTTGTCCCATCTGATTCCCTTCTTCCCTGGAGTCGCTTTTCCCCAAGCTGCCTCGTCAACCATGGCTGGTAGTCTATCGTCCGACATTCTACTTACCTTGTACTGCCACTTCACCTTCTGCATGTCTCTCTTTGTTTTAAGAGAGTACATTCCCAATTCTGCTCTCAATACAGCGTTGCTCGTTGTACTTGAACATCCTAGTATTTTCTTGGCCGCTGCCATCTGCACCGTTTCCAGCTGCTTGACGGCCTTTTCGTTACCTTCCCATATCTCTCCTGCATACTCTAGCTTAGGTACAATCACCTTCAAGAGAATACACCTCTTAATCCTAGTGTCTAGGTGTGGGTCCGTAAGGATCTCGTCCATCTTGCCTATCTGAGCTTTACCCTTCCCAATCAACTTCGCTATGTGTGCGTCCCATGAGCACTCCTTCGAAATCTCTACTCCCAGGTACGTATACTTGTCTACTACCGGTAGTTCTTCCTCCCCCCATTTCCATTTGAATTCTACGGGATTTTTCTTATCTTCGTTACAGACCACTACTGCGCATTTTCCTACGTTCGCCGACAGTCTCCATTTTCGGGTGTATCCTACCGCCGCATCGTTTTGTTCTTGCAACCCTTCTGGTGTTTCGGATACCCCCACGAAATCATCTGCAAACATCAGTCCGGACACACTCTTTCCCTCTACTTGGACTCCCTGTCTTACTGCTTCAACCGCCCTTATCAAATCGTTGATGTAAATCTTAAAAAGAGTGGGTGACATCGTACAGCCCTGTGCGACTCCTTGGAGTATATCCACGTACTTCGAAATTTCCCCATCCAACATCACCGCACCTCTTGTGCATTCTGTCATCTTTTTCAACATCCTCCACATTTTCCCCCGGATGCCGATGTCCCACATCTTTTTCCACAATCCATTGCGCCATACGGTGTCGTAGGCTTTTTGTATATCGAGGAAGAAACAGTGTGTCGTACGCCCGGCGTCTTTCCTACCTTGGATGATTTTACTCAACGTATATACATGGTCTACACAACTACGATCTGGTCTAAATCCAGCTTGTCCTTCGCTGATCTTTTGTTTCCCCTCCAACATGTCTCCCATTCTATTGTCTATCATCTTGCCAAACAGTTTCCCCACTGTGCTCAACAGGGTTATCCCTCTATAATTCCCCGGGTCAGCTTTATCCCCCTTTTTGAACAGGTTCACGACTACTCCTTCTCTCCATCTCTTCGGCGCGTACTCGTGTTTCCATATCCAGTTGAATATCCGGACCAACATGTTAATCATCCCCTCCCCCCCCTGTTTCAAAAGCTCGTTCACAATTCCATCAGCCCCTGCCGCTTTTCTATTCTTGAGTTTCGCTACGCAGTCCTCTACCTCTTCTCGTGTGAACTCTCCCTGCAACCCGTCTACATCACTACGTTCCCTCTGAGATCTTCCAGCGTTTTCCTCTGCCCACGAGTTGATTTCCTTCTCAAACTCCGAGTCGAAGTTGTCGTTGGTGGTGGGTGTCCCAAGTTTGCGGTAGTGCTCTACTAGTACTTCCCTCTTTCCTTTAGAACTGCTTACCATCTTACCCTCGGCAGATCGGGGGGGGGGGGGGGGGGGGGTATCTTTGTTTTTCCCGGGCCTAGCGGGAATACCTCTTGGCAACCCCTCCCCCGAAGGAGGAAAAAAAACCGGGGGGGGGGGGGTTGGGGGTCGGGGGGGGGGTGAAATATTTTACCGGGGATCNNCATGCCTTAGCGGTTTAGAGTAAGAGCGACACGTCCTCCAGAGGACGGAGAATAAACGGAGGGCGGGGGGTTGGGGGTTGGGGTGGGGAGGAGAGATTCCGACCGGGTTCCGGTCACCCCTGAGAATCCTTGTTCCTGTCTACAAAGCAAGACGAAGGGTCTGGCTAGAGGGGGGAGTGATGTGATGTCATGTGGTCGTGACTGACCCTTAAGAGAAAGCACCTCACCTCCCCAACGTGCGTCGAGGACGATCCATCGATCCATTCCCTCTTTTCGCGTTTTGTTTCGCAGGCAGAACGAGGAGAAAGAACAAAACTTGCGTGGCATGTGCTATTTGTCTCCAGATTCTTTCCCGGGCCAACCGCTACAGAATTGCCTCAGGAAAAGACACCAAAACACGCCACCCTTCGACAAAAAACAACACAGCAGCAGCAGCAGCAGCAAGCGAACCAGAGGACTTACCGGCTTAACCGATGTGATCTTGATGTACGCCAACGTCTCGTCCGTAACTAGCGCCTCGTCGGCAGAGTCTGGCAGCACCTTCACCTAACATCGAGGCAAGCCATACCGCAGATATGGCATGTCGTTTCGTGAAGGAGGGCGTGGGAGTAGAGGACGGTGCGAGCGGTGCGAGAACGAAAAACAAATCGGGCAGTGAAACTTAAAGGCA